GACAATGTTTTTTTTGACAAAGAGCCCAACAGACACATGGAATTCTAAAATAAAAAATACAACAACTCTAACCTCTTGGAAGTTTCTCTATAGGCTTTTGAATTTCTACATCAGTATCAAAGTTGATAAACTTTCCATTAACTCTGTTTGAAGTGGTTGTATCTTGAGCTGGGGTTACATTCACACCATTGGCATCTGTAGAGAGAAAACACTCAATAGTTCAATATAAATTTTGCTGCAGTTATTTGTTAGCTCTTTACACCCTAAATATCAGTATGCATATTCTCCATACTGTTCTCCTTACATTTCCTAAGGTGCTGGTAAGGAGAATGTACCTAACAATCAAGAACTTCTTTTGTTGGTGATCATTTACTTTATTCTTGTGACCCTATGTGTGTTTTAGGGATGAAATTGAGAGGAGAAATTACATGCTCATGGTGACTCTTAGGGGTTAAAGGAATTAGTTAACATCCCCTCCACCTTGGCATTATAATAATCATTGATCGTTACCTTTCACAGAAACAGTAAAAAATGGATTAATGTACACATGGGCATCCTTCAGTCCAATCTGGTTGATTCGTACAACAAGTCGATGATATCCTTCTTCGAATGGGATACGCGGCAACAAAGACCCTCCTTCAGCTTAAAAAACAAGAAAAAAGATGAACATCATTATATGACAGAGCAAAAATACAACAAAAATGAACAAATGTATGACATATGTAAGATTAATATCTGAAAAAGGGTTGTGGTTGTTTAACATGCTAAATACATGACCAGATTATTTCAACTGAGTACTGTTACTGATAGTTCTCTTCTGTAAGTTTCTAGAACTCTTTCATAAATGGTGTGCTACACTGCTGTTTTTATTGCATTTCTGTAAACTAGCCTTTTCAATCAGTTGGTATAAGCATGTTTTAAAAACAATTGCAATATCAGGAATTTTCATTCAATCAAAAGCACATTAATTTTCAAGGGTATAGAAGAGTATTAATCATGCCCAACTCTAATTTTGAGGTAACTATCGCCCTATCTGAAAATGGGATCCTGGGCAGTATAAGTAATCTGTGTCACACACTGAACTGTATGATTACTGATAGAAAAGACACCAGACATAATGATGTTCTATGACAGAGTACACTGGTGTACTCAAGTAATAACTTGAATGCCTATAAGATCTTAAAGTGTGTTCATGCATTAAAAAAGGAAAGAACTCACCAACTGAAGAAACATGCTCAGTTCCATTTTCATCTCCATATTCTGTTACATCAGTATCACTAACAAAAACAGAAAAAAAAGTTGTAGGCTTTCCATCCTTCAGACAGCAGTAATGTTTGAGAGACAATTTACATCAGAAACCAAAAGATGACCCTGAATGAAGAAAGAACCAAGGAAAGGTTCAACTTGCCAATGATCTGGACAGGACCCATCAGGTCACATGTCACTGAAGACCTGATCAATTTGGTGATCTTTATTTTAGAAGAGGCAAAAGTTTAATTGGCCATTTTACAGTAATGCATTTAGTTGCCAAGCCTTTGATTTGGAGTGAGGCTGAAAGTGACCTTGTTGTGATAGAGACCAGTATCTAATTAGCATGATAACAAAGTAATTTACAAAGCAGCAATGTTTGTATCATAACAAGGTCACCCTTAGCCTCACTCCTGTTCAAAGGCTTGGCAACCAAGCATGCAACTGCAAAATGGACTATAAAAAATTTCCTTCCTGTATGTGTGGTGCCAAAAATTTGATGAGCTAACCAAGATCATCTATTCAATCAGCTTGAAATTTTTAATTTTATTTCTTGCTGGCCCCACCAGTTATAAAAATAACAACCTAAAACTTACTAATTGATCTAAATTATGACTAACCTTGTTTTAGGCTCTTCGATCCTGACTGGAAAAGGACCATTCCAACCTACATTTAAGTTTCTCAACACTGTGCAAAAAGAGTTGATAATGGTAATCTGCAGTTAAAACTGTTGTAAAATAAGAAATATTTTCAAAAGACAAACCAGTTAATAGAAATATTGTGATGAAGCTGGCTTCATAGGAATATCATTGGGACAATTTTTGTTGCGCTGAAAGTTGAGAGGTTGTTATGAGAATATTGGAGGGCACTTAATCATTACACCACTGTCTCCCTCAAAGAGGTTGTATCAATTGTTTCTAAATATGAATTTGTCTGGAGTTATCAGGTACTGGCCATTACAAGCCATTTTACAGTTTTTTATGTTAGTTGCTGAGCCTTTGATCTAAAGTGAGGCTGAAGGTGACCTTGTTGTGATAGAGACCAGTATCTAGTTAGCAACTGATAACAAAGTAATTTACATTAATTTAAAAAGCAGCAATGTATGTGTCAATTAACAAGGTCACCCTTAGCCTCACTCCTGTTTGAAGGCTAATGGCAACCTAGCACTCAACTGTAAAATGGATTATTGAAACATATACTGTACAGTTATGCAAGGAGCAATGACAGCATAGTAACAAACAATGCACACTCACCTTCACCAACTTTCTTGATATCATCAAATGAGATCTCATCATCTCTAGCCTTATTGTGAATCAAAAATAAAAAGTAATAATGGACAATTGAGAAGATGAACTTTAAACATTTCAAGACTACATTAATTATTGATTAAAATTAACCAGTTGATTTACTTTCAAATTTTAGTGTATATGATTTATAATAATCATGCATTGTCATTAAATTTTCAACTCCGGTTATTGAATTTCTAATGCTCTGATTGGCTCATTTAACTCCAGTAAAATGGAACTCATATACCCAATCACCTTACATAGAAACTAATACACACAAGTATTTCTTAATCTGAGCATTAAAACAAATTCATTAAGCTCCCATAGCTAGTGTTCATAATAAGACGATTATTCTATTCATGCTTGTTGGACACAAGATTTGCTATTCATCATTTAATATCCAACAGTGCATATGAAATAATTGTTAAGTACTAAGCTTATTAAAGTAAATGTGTTTCGAAGATATGGTGCCAAGGTTATACTAAATTGATGCACTATTGATGAGCAATCTCCTTCCTAAATAATAGAAACTGAGGGTGTCTGATAAAACTGATACACAAAATTGCACACTCTCTTCTCAATAACCATTTACAGTACATACCAGAACTCATGGTCTAAATGAATTTCACCAAAATTTTTCCTCATGCAAGAAAAAACCTCGTAATATTATCAAACCAAACATGGTCACAGTCAGATTCACCTGAGTGGATAGTAATATTTTGCTTCTCTTCTCAAAACAGGCTGACATTTTAAGCATCAGTTTCTATAGAACAAACATTACATTTAATTTATTATCAATAAAATTAAAGTACAAATTTGTGTGCCATAATCATGTAAATAGCTATGTCTATCTTTAATTCTTGAGCAGTAAATGGACCAAATGGACCAAATCTACTTGGCCCTCAATCTGCAAATGTTATTTTTCTGCAATGGTCAAACCCTTTCAAGTGTTTACATTCATTTGAAATCACTGAAGTGTGTCTAATAAAGGGGGTACGTTTCTAAAGAAACTGCTGTATCAGTGTGAGAATGTTCAGGGTAATTTGGTGTAATATTAACCGAGTTGATAATGTAAATCAGCCAACGTAAAGAATTTTAAAAAGCTGACATTTTGAGCGTTGGATGAAGGGCTCTGCTGAAGGGCTAATGCTTGAAATGTCAGCTTTTAAACTCTTTACTGTAGCCAATTTACATTTTTATCACCTCAGTTAATAGAACCAAATTAGACTGAATGCTCTTACACCAATGTAGCCCTACATTTTCTTTAGAAACCTACCCCTTTTACTTGTGTGTCTAACGAATAGATAGCCAAAAGAATCTCTCTGCTTAATGAATGTATGAACTACATTAAATATTACTTAGTGGCATACGCAACTCAGTGTTTTGGCAACATGGCAAGTCAGGGGTGTGTCTGTTTCAAGATTGATGTGGTCAATTAATAGATTTTGCTTTAAACATTGATTTATACACAATAATGAAAGTTTTAACTCTGTCTCCACAAACCTTCTGTTCCTCTTGAAACATCTTGTTTCCCAAAGCACAATGTTTTTTCAAGTCTCTAGCGAGTCTAGACAAAACAACTTTCTTTATTAATCAGTGGTCATCTACAAGAATTTCATTAAGGAAGGTTAAAGATAGAGAAAAGCAAAAAGAATCAGATTCGAAAATTCTAAATAAGCTCATTAGTAAATATTGTGGGCAGCTTATCAAGAAAAATTTTAATCCTTCAACTCTCAGAGTTGATTGACAAGTAACTTCTTCCAGTGTTTTTCTTTTCAGGTGGTAACCAACAAAATTTACTGCCTGTAGTATCTCCTATTACCGTTTAAAATTGCTTGGAATTCTTGAAAATTCAACAGGTAAAAGGATTCCTTTAATGGTTTGAAAATTTATTTTATCTGTCATGCTTAAAATAAGGGAGAACACTGTTCTCCCTGTAATAAATTCCATATATTACTCAGCAAACAGGTAATGACAATACTCAAACTTATCAGCTAGATGTTAATTCTTGATCTAATATTAAAATCTTGTAACTAACTTACAAGGAAATCTGTAGCAGTTAGAGGGGAGAATTAATAATCAGATCTTGGGAATTAAAGGGTTAATTTAATAAATGTCCACCAAATTATCATTTTTATCAAAAATTAATAGATAGGTATATCATATATATACAGATTTAACAGTACATAGTCAGTGGCTAGTCATTTTAAATTCTCCCCAAGTGTAAAAAACAAAAAAAATTAAAATTGTGAAAATTAAATATTGGGTGACATAGATTTGTATATGACTTAGGCAGGCCTGAGGCCATGCAAAAAAATTAATTAAAAATGACAAAAGAGAATGTTTACAAAGTATTTCAAGAGAAAGACAATGGACATTTATTTATAACAAAAATTCACCTGCTAGAGCAGTAAAATATGATTAAACTGGGGCAGAGCTTATTGCTTAAAATGAAACACTTACGTTTAATATACATATTATATATCCAAATTTGAACATTCTAAACATTTATCAGCCTGAACATATCAAAAAAACGATTATTTCTACACAGACTCGCGCTGTTGCTACCGTATTTTTTTCGACAAGTTTATGTTAAACCATTCCTAGATAGCTGTTACCAATCTTCACAAGCTTATCATAATAAACAGTCTAGGTTTTTTTTTAGTCGTGAAAAATATACACACAGTAAACTATGATCATCTTCTCTTGGGAAATTTCTTGGGTAGTTTCAACCATTTATACCGAAAATGGTTAAAAAAAGACTAAACCAGAATCTTAGCTAAAAAAATTAAATATGTTTTCTGGAAAAATTAAGCCACTTTCAAATTCTGAGGGCTTAAATTTATTCCGCAAACAAGAATCGAAACAGTACCGTTTCATGCAACACTAAATGACCTTAAAAATTCTACCTATTCAGGCCAAAATCCACTAACGAAGCTAGCCATAAGTAGCTTAGATAGGCGTCGTTGCTTCCTATGAGATTGCAGTGAATTACGGAGCAAAATGTGTGTACTGCATATGAAAGAGGAAAGCAAATAAAACAGACATATCGTTCTTATGTGGTACCTTGAATACTCCTCGGCGGCTTCCACCAGCTGGCCCCAAGAATCAAAATCTTTTCCTTTCTCAAAAGAGACATACCACTGGTTTATTGTTCTGGACTTTTCAGTCATACTTTCGTCTAGGTAGTTTGCAGATCCATTTTTTTGCAGGTGATTTTCAGATATTGGCCATCTTAAAGCGCAAGAGACTGTCAGCAAATGTACATGATTCGTTACATGACGTAACTTCCGAACACTTTTGTACCGCGGGCGCTATTAGTTAGCCTGTCTCACGAAACACGCACGCGGACGAAATAAT